TTGGTAGATCACATTCTCTTTTAAGGTAGGACTGTTCTTTAACTTGGACCTTCAACTTTCTTCCTTTGAAAGGACAGATCTATGAGGGATTGAGGAATGAGAGTTCTCAGATATGTCCACTTTGCCCCAGAAAAAGAAAAGTAAATTGAAAATAAATGAAAGCAAAATTTGTGATAAGAAAAAACATTATTTCAAACCATGTGGTTTTCTGTTTTCCAGTAAAATGAAACATCTTGTCATAAGTAAGGAAGGAAAATCCATTGCTAAATAATGACTGATATGACCAATAACTGATAAAAATTGTAATTGGTCATATATTTATTTATTGGATGAAAGGCAGGACATTTTAAGGGGCATTGTTATTTCCCAGAATTTGTAATAGTATGCTTACTTGTACCCTGTATTTAACAAATGTGTGAAAACAGAAAAAAAAAATCAATGTAGAAATTCTCCAGCTGTGTTTCCCTCCTTCTTATAACTTAAAGGACCACTATAGACACAAAGACCACTTCAGATCATTGAAGTGTTATGGGTGCCATGCCCCCTAGTTTTAATCCAATAGCTGTAAACATAGTAGTTTCAGAGAAAACAGCTACTAGAGGCCTCTTCCACTATCCTCAATGCGAAAATTGCATTGAGGACACACTGGACGTCCATAGGAAAGCATTGAGTAATGCTTTCCTATGGGTGGTTTGAATGCACGCGCGGCTTTTGCCACATATGCGCATTCGGAGCTGCCGTCGGCAGGGTGACGAGAGGTCACCAGCGCCGAGGGAGGCCAGCACTGGAGAAAGGTAAGCGGGAGAGGGCGTACTTAATAACCCTATAGTGCCAGGAAAACGAGTTTGCTTTCCTGGCACTATAGTGCTCCTTTAAGAGCCTCCATCTTGCTACATCTCATTCATTGCTATAACCTCTGTCCTTTTTTGTCATTGGATGTTGAGTATGTGGAGGAAACAGAAACAATGTTAATGTTTCTTCTGGCTGTGCCTGGAATAAACTGGATTGTGATGGAACGTCACATGATAAAGTTTAACAGTTATAAGTGATTTTTAAATTTTTTTTTTTTTTTTTCCCAAAATTTTTATTGGGTAATAATGCAAGATTACAACATCTGTTTTGCAGTATACAATCTGGTATCAACGAACTTTTGTATGTTATACATTGTTACCATGCTTGAGAGTCCAGAACGGTTGTGGTAACTGTTCGAGCACGTTACGTTTTAACATTCGTTTGTGTGCGGTACCCCTGGACAGAGTACTCGAGTGCGGTTTGATTTTAGTCGTTGTTCACTTTGCATGGGTGGTGTGTTATTAACATACAGGTAAAAATCAAAACATAATATAACATAACATAACAGTACATTGGGGTGGGTGATGAACTTTCCTGGTATAGCTAGTATGTACCATCGTGGCGTAGAACCTCGTCAGTGTGGATTGTTGCGCTGTGGTAGATTTGTCTGTTTGGGTATGTGGGTCTATAGCCCTTGTGGAGGAGTGTTACGTATGAAATTTAACCATGGTTCCCAAGTGGCCGTGTAGTCGTGGTATTTGAGTGAAAAGGAGTACGCTAGCTCCTCCATTTCTCTGATAGCGTCTACCCTTTCTATCCAGGCTCTGATCGTAGGGGGTGCAGTTTGCTTCCATTTGGTTGGGATGATGGCGTTTGCTGCCGTTAACAGGTGGTTGATCAGTGTGCGTGAGTGTTTGGGTAGGGGGCTGGGGTACATTAAAAATAACAAGACTTTAGGGTCTTGGGGTAGTTTGTGTCCCGTGATGGTGCGAATAACGTTCGTTATCTGGGCCCAGAATTTACTTATTATTGGGCATTGCCACCAGATGTGGCTTGTGGTTCCCTCCGCTTTCTTGCACCTCCAGCATGTGTTTGGTGCGTTTGGGAAGAATCTGTGGATGCGGGATGGTGTGTAGTGCCATCTGGCTATTCGTTTGTAAGTGCTCTCATGTGTGCTGTTGCTTTTGGATGTGCGGAAGACATTGGCGAATATTTTATACCACTCTTTGGTTTGTATTTGTATCCCCAGCTCTGTTTCCCACTTGGATGTATAGGTAGGTAGGAGTTCGTCCTTTCGTCGGCATAATTGTTTATAGAAGGAGGATATGTGGCCCCTCCGGATGCTGTGTTGTGCGCATTGGATCTCGTATAGAGTGTGGGTTCTATGGCCTTGTGATAGTGGTGGATTTGTGCTTAGAAAGTGTTTGAGTTGCTCGTGTCTCAGTCGCGTCATTCCCGTTTGCCATTCAGTGGGTAGTAGTTGTTCAAAGGGAGTGACCCCCTGGTCCGTTAGGACATCTCCCAAAGTCAGTGTATGAGCTTGTTTGGGGAAGTTTCTAAACGCCCTGTGGTCCATGCCTGGGGGGAAGGAGGGGTTTCCCGTTAGTGGGTAGAGTGGTGATGGATGTGGTGCTAAGTGTTTGTCTCTCCTAATGGTCGACCAAAGTTTCACTGTGTGTGTGATTGTGGGGTGAGAGGTCCCTGAGCGCGTTTTCGTGTCGGTCTTGTTAGCGAGCCAGGGTATGGCATATATCGGTGTCGCGAGAAAGCTGGCCTCAATCTGTACCCATTGGGCTGTGTTTTTAGGGTATGACCATTCATAAATCCTCGTGAGGATAATGGCTTTGTGGTATGTTTCCAGATCTGGTAGGCCTAGTCCTCCTCGTTGTTTGCTTTTTGTGAGGCATTCGTATTGTAGCCTCGGGGGTCTACCTGACCATATAAAGTTGTTGAATAGTCGCCTGGAGAGGGAGAAGAAAGGCCTTGGTATTTTAATAGGCAAGGTTTGCATTATATATAGAAACTTGGGGAGAATCATCATCTTTAAGATGTGGATTCTGCATAGCCAACCGAATTGTGGTTTATTCCACGATTTGAGTTCGGTATCTACTTTGTTTAGAAGGGTTGTGTAGTTAAGGGCGTATAGGCGTGACAGTGTGGTTGTGAGTTGGACTCCCAGATATCTAATTGACTCTGTGGGCCAGTGGAATGGATAGGTGACGCGGAAGCGCTGTTTGTGTGGTGTTCGGTATGTTGAGCGGGAGTATCTCGCTCTTGCCCATGTTTATTTTGTAATTGGAGACTGCATTATATGCCTCTATCTCTTGTATAAGGTGTTGTAGGGATGTTTTTGGATTAGATAGGGTGAACAGTAGGTCGTCCGCAAAAGCGGAGACCTTGTATTCCTGCTCTGCTATTTTAATGCCAGATATGTTTGGGTTGTCTCTTATTCCTTGTAGGAATGGCTCCATGGTGAGGATGAAGAGTAGTGGGGAGAGGGGACAGCCTTGCCTAGTACCATTGGTTATTTGTACGGTATCTGACAATTGGCCGTTCACACGTACTTTTGCTCCCGGTTTTGAATATATGGCTGCGAGCCATTGTATCCATTGTTGGCCGAAGCCCAGAGTTTTCATTGTGGCCATGAGGAAGGACCAGTCTACCCTATCAAATGCCTTCTCGGCATCTATAGTTAAAATGAGGCTCTGGGGTCCTTTTCCTTTGGCTGTGTGTATCAGGCTTAGGAGTTTCGTAGTGTTATGTTTGGCCTCCCTATTCGGTACAAACCCTGATTGATCCGGGTGTATCAGTCCGTTCAGGAGTGGTTTCAGCCGGTTGGCAAGAATCTTAGTGAAGATTTTCAAATCACAATTTATAAGAGAGATTGGGCGGTAGCTCCCACACTCCTCTAGGTCCTTTCCGGGTTTGGGGATCAATGTGATGTGGGCTTCTAAGGATTCTACTGGGAGTTTGTGTCCTAAAGCCAGTGAATTGAAGGCAGTGACAAAGGGTTTGCAGAGCTGATTTGTGAATGTTTTGAAGTATTTGGTAGTGAAGCCGTCGGTCCTGGGCTTTTGCCTATGGGGAGGTTTTTAACTACCAGTCTAAATTCTTCGTCTGTTAGGGGTCCTTCAATGGATTGTCTTACGTTTGTGGGGATCGTTTGCGTGATTCTGTTAGAGAGGAAATGGGTTATTTCCTCTGGTCGTGGTGGCGTCTGTCTGAGGTTATACAGGTTTGTGTAGAAGGCGTGGAATTCTTTAAGTATGGCTGGGAGTAGGTGAGTGCGTGTCCCGTCTTTGCTTTTGATCGTGGTTATGTATGTGCGTTGCGTGTTTTGCTGAAGGGCTTTGGCTAGCATTCGCCCGCATTTTCCTCCTTGAGTGTAAAATGAATATTTGGTGTGAGTGAGTGATCGTTTGATTTTGGAATTTAGCAGGGTTTGTAGGGTTGTGCGTTTGTCAACTAGTTGTTTATAGAGGTCTAGGGAGAGGTTGTGTTTGTGTGTCTGTTCAATTAGGCGGATATCTCGCAGGAGATCAGTGATTTGGGCATCTTTCTTTTTCTTGAGTTTGGAGGCTATAGCTATGATGTGTCCTCTCATTACTGATTTATGAGCTTCCCAGGTTATTGTCGGGGATATGGATGGGGATGTATTTTCCTCAAAGTAGTGTTGTAGTGTGGTTGTTAGTGTATCGACCGTGGCTGTGTCATTCAGCATGGTGTCATTTAGTTTCCATTGGAAGTTGTTGGGTGTCAGAGTTGGGATTTGAAAAACTAGAGACAAGGGGCATGGTCCGACCATGTGATCAAGCCATACTCACATGATTGAATTAAGTGTATATGTCTGTGAGGAACAAATAGCATGTCCAGACGAGAGTATGTGTGTTTGACCGTTGAGTAAAAAGAGTAGTCTCGTCTTTGTGGGTGTATGGTTCTCCAGCAGTCGAATAAATAAGATTTGTCTAATAGTCTGGACATCGTGGTTCTGGTAGCGGCGTTGTATGTCGTGGAGCTGGAAGTAGTGTCTAATTCCGAGTCAAGGGACATGTTTAGGTCACCTCCGAGTATAAGAATGCCTTCGACCTGTTTTTCGATTATGTTGAGGTATTTGCGTAGGTGCTTGTGTTGTTTGGTATTTGGCAGGTAGATATTTGCGAAAGTTACAATTGTATTGCCAATTTTGCCTTTAATTATGAGCAGCCTACCGTTTGGATCTGTGTATTGGTACGTGTGGGTATATGGTGTTTGTGCCCCTGTGAGGATGGCTACTCCTCTGGATTTTGCGTCCGTGTAGGAGTTGAAATATCCTGTGGGGTAGTGTCTGTTGCGAATAGTGATGGTGGAGTCTGCTTTTAGGTGGGTCTCCTGAAGAAATGCCTCATCAGCTCTAAGTTTGTGGAGTTCGTGTAGCGTTAGTGCTCTTTTTGTCGGGGAGTTAAGACCCCTGACGTTGAGGGTAACTATGTTGAGGTTTGCCATGATGGAAATTGTGTGAACTGTGTGATCTGTCGTTCACGTATTGTGTACCAGGGGAAGATAACCGATAACAAATGAACTATGTACAAAATTGTGTGTAGGCAGGTGGAGCAAGAAATTGAGATGTTTAGTGTTGACGGGAAGGGTTGGCAGCCTTGTCTGTCGGTGGCTTTCCCCTTGAGAGGCTTTAGGGCCTTTGGGGAGTTGCACGTGCACCGCTTTGGCCGCTCAAGTCTTTCCACCTGCTATCGAGGTTTTATTTTCGTGGGAGGTGGTAGGTTGGTGTGTTGTTATTAAATGTCTCGCCAGAGACGGGCAATCCTATGGATAGTTGTCAGTAGTGAGTAGTGGATCAGGCAAGGGGATCAAATTAGTGGGACAGGTAAGATTGTGTGTTTGTGGAGCAGGTCGATTTTAGAGGAAATGATCCAGAAAAGAGGGGGGGGGGCTGGAGGCTGCTTGCCTCTAGTGGGTTGCCTAATAGTCTAGGGGTAGGCTTTATGTGTCCCCTTGGGCATGGGCTCTGCCTCGTATTTGGAGGAGGCTTGCATCTCAATTGCTTGCTCGGGTGTGCATAAGAAGTGTAAAGTGAGACAAATATTATTCCCATAACAATTGCAGCTCTCCCAAAGAACATAAAATAGAAAACCATCCATTAATTGACATATCATGGTATACATTTCCCGGTAAGACAATCAATCAGATCTCAATTGACCTCAGGGGCATTCCTTGAGGTTGTTGCCAAGGGGAAGAGGGGTTAGTAGTGAGGGAGTGGGGAAGGGGACAGGGGAATGGGAGTGGTATACCGTTACCCGAGATGCCACTCAGTGTCTTTATGAGAGTGGTAGATTATTAGGCTAAAGGGGGAGGGGGGGGCTGGGGTGATTTAGGGGGTGAGGGGAGGCCTTATGCTTGTCAGCAGAGCCTGTACGTATACATTCATTTACGGTAAAACATACATATTTTTTATTTTTATTTTTATTTTTTCCTCTCATACCCCTCCGGAGTGCCATTGCCTCATGTTTCTGTGTGTCCTCTTCCCTGCTGACAGTATGTGGTCTTTCAGTCCAGAACCAGTGTCATCTAGGAGTGTCGGTAGAGTGGAGAGTCTCCTTTTCATAGAGCTCGCGGACCGAAGCAAGTCTAGGTTGTCGTGGGAGATGTCCTGATTTGTATGTTTTCTTGTGATGCTCAGGTATTGTGTCCCTAGGGTGGGGCCTTGAGATGCAGTCTCTGTGGGTGGATTTCTGGATTATTAGTGGTCGTTATAGATCTCTGGACCTTAGTTGGGTCCTTGTCGATTGGGGCAGTGGTTTCTTAGTTGGTGGTCGTCGTCATGTGCCTTGGGTCCCATCGAAGGGCCGGGGGGCCTGCTCTCGGTCTGGGACCTCCTTGGTGGTGCGTTTGGTCGTTGCTTCTGCGTTTGGATGGCGTCTGCCCTCTTTGCTTGTGGGTCATCTGCGAGCGATTTGGGGGTTGTAGCGGCCCATACCAGTCTGGTATGTATATGTCCGTCTAGGTAGGTCTAGGGCCGAGGTGAAGACCCGCACGTCCTCTGCTGAGGATAGAGTTGCTGTTGTACCATTGTGCGTGGCAGTAAGGGCCAGAGGGAATCCCCAGCGGTATCTTATGTTCCTAGAGCGCAGTAGGTCTGTGAGGGGTTTCATTGTCCTCCTCGCCTGCAGCGTCATCCAGGAGAGATCTGGGAAGATTTGCACAGGTATCTCATGGAATAGCAGCGGTTGTGTCGTCTGGCGGAGATTTCTGAGTATGTCTTCTTTAATAGAGTAGTAATGCAGTCTGCACACTATGTCTCTGGGTGCCTCTGCCATGGGGTTTCTGGGCCTGAGTGCCCTGTGGGCTCTGTCCAGTGCTATAGGGGTTGATACATCTCTTTGCAGTATAAGATTGAATAGCTCTTGGAGGGTTACCTTTAAATCTTCCCCCTCTTTTTCTGGGATGCCCTTTATTCTTAAATTGTTTCTGCGCCCTCTGTCATCTATCATTCTATTCATGGATGCTATTTGGGCATTTTGTGCTGTTAGTGTACTTTGGAGATTTTGCATTTGTGTGGCTGTGTAGTCTTGGTCACTTTCTAGTAAGCTGACCCTTTCACTGACCTGTGTTACTTCTGCTGTGATGTCGTCCATTTTTTTCTGGAAAGTCACCTCCAGTTTTTGCAGCATGTTTGCAAGGTCTTGCTTAGAT